ATTTAGTGAGGCCTTAAACAACCCAGTGAGACCTTATCTCTAAATAAAAAAAAAAAAAAAAAAGGGATATGGAGATATGGCTCAGTGGTTAATGCCCCTAGGGTTCAATCCCCTACCCGCCAAAATAAAACAACTTAAATATTTCACTATACTTTGGCACAGTGGCACACACCTATAATCCCAGCAATTTGTGAGGCTGAGACAGGGAAATCAAAAGTTCAGGACAGCCATAACAATTTAGCAAGACCTTGTCTCAAAATAAAAATAAAAAGGATTAGGGATGTTACACCATGGTAGAGCACCCCTGGGCTCAATTCCAGTACCAGCAATAAAATAAAATAAAATATTCTCATTATGACTGTAAACTTGTAATTCTTAATATTGGTTTTGCTCTGTACATTTAAAAGCTATGTTTACAGTTCATAATTATTTTATCTTTTTGGTAGATTTCTCCTTTTATATGTACTGTTGTTTTATCCTTATTAATGCCTTTGTTGTTTCACCTGTCTCATAGTGATAACCTCCTACTTCTGGTTAGTTTGGTATCTCTAAAAAGAATATATAATGATTTTGTTTTTTATTCAAATTGTTGACTATGTGTTTTTTAATAAAGAATATCAACACATTTATATTTACTGTGAACTATTCATATTTTTGGAACCCTTTCTTTTTTTTTTTTTCTTTCTGGTATGGGGGATTGAACCCAGCAGTGCTTAACCACTAAGCCACTTCTTCAGCCCATTTTTTTAAATTTAAAAATTTTGAAATAGGGTCTTGCTAAGTTGCTGAGGCTGGCCTCAAACTTGTGATCCTTCTGCCTCATTTAGGGCCCATTGCCTCAGCCTCCTGAGTTGCTGGGATTATAGGCAAGCACTACCATGTCTGGTCCCTTTCTACTTGTTTTCCATTTATTCCCTCTTTCCTTTGCTTTAATTTTTTTTTGTAACTTCTTATAGCTTTCCTATCTTCTAGTGATCAAGTTTTCAATATTCTCTCCCCACCCTTAGCTTATTTCCATTACTTTGAGTTTTTTATTGTATATATTTAATTATGCATTAATTTTAAAGCATTTGTAATTACTTAATAGTACTATCTTCTTCCTAAACATGATTAAAGATCTTAATATATTATATCTTCACACTGAACAATCTATTTGTTTTCACTGTCTAAAGCTATACTATGCAATTTGGTAGCCATTAGTCACATGATGAAAAAAATGAAAGTAAACTATCTCAATAATTTTTATATTTGATTACATGTTAAAAGGATAATATTTTGGACATTTTGAGTTATATCTTATTAAAGACTAATGTCTCTTTTTTTTAACATAACTACTATAAAATTGATAATTACATGTGGCCAACATTACATTTGTATTGGATATTGCTAAATCCAGGTTTGTTTTTTTTAATTATTGTTACTGTTTTGCAATACTGGAGATCAAACTCACAGCCTTGCACACACTAGGAAAGCTCTCTTCCTACTGAGTTATATCCCTAGCCCCAGTTTTTTTGTTTTTGTTTTATTCCTCTTTGAGATAGGGTACTGCTTAGCTGTTCAGGCTGGCCTTGATCTTTGGGGTTCAAGCAATCCTCCTGCCAGAGGCTCCCTCCTTGCTGGTACTACAGGCCTGCTCAACCATGCTTGGCTTTGAGTTTTAGTTTTAATTTTGTTTTAAATGTACCCCTCAAAAATCTCTAAATTATATTATTTATGCTACTGACAATAACATTTAACCTAATTAAAATTATTCCATCTAGATTAATAGTTACTTGGAATATAATGTGGTACAGAACATTATTTTGCTTCTCTATTTAATCAGGCTTCTAATCTAAGTGGCTTTTAAATTTTTCCCTTGATCTTTGATATTCCCAAGTTTCAGCACAACATGTAGATTTATCTTTATTTAATTTGCTTTGTCTAAAGCTAACTTTCTTTTTAAAATATTTTTCTTAGTTGTATATGGTCAAAATACCTTTATTTTTTACTTATTTATTTTTATGTGGTACTAAGGATTGAACTCAGTGTTTCACATGTGCTAGGCAAGTGTTCTACCACTGAGCTATAACCTCAGCCCTAAAGCTAACTTTTTTTTGGTACTGTGGATTGAACTCAGAGGTGCTCAACCACTGCACGACATCCCCAGCCCTATTTTGTATTTTTATCTACAGACAGGGTATCACTGAGTTGCTTAGTGCCGCACCATTGCTGGGGCTAGCTTTAAACTTGCAATCCTCCTGCGGCAGCCTCCAGAGCTGCTGGAATGATAGCATGCGCCACCGCTAGGGGCCCTAAAGCTAACTTTTGATTTGAGAAGTCTGGTCCCTCTCCAATACTAAAAACTTTATGCCATTATAAAATTAATTTTCCACCAATCCTTGAAAAAAACTTTTTTTTTGCAATCCTTCCTATACATTGGAGTCTCTCAATTAATGCTGTCTTTTAAAAAAGTTTTTTTTTTCTGTGCTCTGCCTGAAATTTTTAGTACTATTTTCTAACTCATTAATTAATTCATCTATCATATAAAGGGTAAAGTCTATCTCATCTACTGAGGTTTTTTTTTGGGGGGGGTACTGGGGTTTGAACTCAGGAGCACTCAACCACTGAGCCATATCCCCAGCCCTATTTTGTATTTTACTTAGAGACAGGGTCTCACTGAGCTGTTTAGCACCTCATTTTTGCTGAGGCTGGCTTTAAACTCACGATCTTCCTTAGCCTCCCAAACCACTGGGATTACAGTTCTGTGCCAACACTCCTGGCTTCTGAGTTTTTTATTTTTAATTTTGTTGCTAAGAATTAAACCCAGGGTCTCACATATGCTAAGCATGTTCTCTTTCTCTGAGCTATACAACCCTACAATCGGGCTTCCAACCCTACAATTGAGCCAGCTCTAAATATACCCCTGCTACTCAATGGTAGGAATCAAATTCAGGGCTTTGGGTATGTTACGCAAGTGCTGTACCATTAGCTACACTCTCAGCCCCTCTCCCCCTTTTTGAGTTTTTAATATACTAACTACATTTTAAATTTCCAAGTATTCTGGCTGGTTCTTTACTACATCGATATGTTCTTGTTTAAGCTGTTTGTTTTATAACTTTGAATTCTCTTTGAGAATATCCTTTAATTCATTTCTTTGAGCATCCTAAAAAAAAAAAAAGTTTCAAAGTTTCTCCGAATCAATGGAATACTATGCAGCTGTTAAAAAGAATAAGATCATCCCATGGATACTAATATGGAATGATCTCTATATTCAGTGAAAAAGACAAGGCATATAATAATGTAGAATGCTACCATTTATATAAAATATATGTACGTATATATTTATATGGTTGTACATGCATAAACTATCTTAGAAAGGAGAGCAAGAAATTGGTAATAGTGGTTGCCTCTGGGGAGGGAAACTGGGTGGCTAGGCGACAGAGGTGGAAATAGACTTACTTTTCACTGTTTACCCTTTTGTACCTTTGAATTTTGTACCACGTGCATGTATTACCTAGTCAAAGAAAAAATAAATAATTTATTTTTTAAAATAAAGACTTTGTTGGACTACTCCATAAATTAATTTCATCCAGAGACAATGACTGTTCTGGTGGTTGATTCTGTTATAATATTAATTTTAGATGTCTCCATGAATTTTGGAGTTTTGGTTATAGGCCAGAGTAGGAAAAGTTTTAAACTTTTTTCTGTCTCCCTATTTAATGTTTTTAAGAGTGTCTACACTTGGCCATTTGGGGTCCATGTCTACAGCCAGGGTTTATAATGACATTTCAGGGCTTCGGTTTCAAGATATTGGAAATATCACATATAACATTCAGTCACTGATAGGATAAGCGGTTTTATTCAATTCTTGTTGATGAGGCTGAGTATTTATCAGCTAAAACCTATAGCACCAACTAGTAAAGAACTTTTGCCTTTTTTTCAGACTTTCACCAATGAGACAAAGATTCCAACTAAACCCTTGGATTCATGTACTGATTCTGACTCTGGTTCCTGCCTCACAAAAAACTAGCATTTTTAATTCTTTTACCTGAATGCAACAAAACCATTAGATATATGCTAGAATGAAACCCAGTAGGCCTATGGTTTCAGACCAGCTCAAAGTTTATCTGTGCTCCATTCCTGGTCCACAAAAATGTTTATATTATTTCAGAACCTGGCTATATTTTTTGTGTTATTTAATTTTAATTTACTGTTCTATGTGTTTGGAGCAAAGCGGTTATATCAAAACTCAGTATATTACCTTGACTAGAAGTAATTTCCTCAATTTTTTTGTTTATAGAATATTTAAATAATCATAAAAGTAACACAATCTCATTTCATACAGTTTATAAAATTAAAGATAATCCATCCATTCCAACTAAACTACTGTTAGCACTTTAAAGCATTTCTTTTTAAATCTTTTTTCTGCTTTATTTCATATTTGCACAATTTTATCATTATTTTATCCTATATCATCCCAACCATTTGACTATGTTGCTATGTAGTCTCTACAACCATTGATGACTGCATATTAATCCACCAAACCATTCAATTGTAATTTACTTCCCACATTAATGAGAATATAAGGAGCTTCAACAATGCTACAAACAAATTCTCTATGCATGTCTTTCTTCCTCATCTGGACTTAAGGGGTAGTGGTGTGGTGACAAATGTTAACCAACAGGATTGCCATAATTCTACACAGATTATTAGCACAAAAGGCATTACAGGACTAGCATAATACATGGCGAGGTTCATAATGATGGTCTTGATATACAAAGAGAAAAGAAACAACAACAACAAAAACCACCATGGAAGTGAACAGTATATTTCAGAAAAATTCCAATCCAAAATAAATAATAGTAAATTTTATAATTAAAGGAATAAACTTTATAAGGAATTAGAATCACAATTTACACACGTGGATCACTGAGGGACAAGGCATGACATATTTTCACTAACTTATAAAACAACACTTTGAATCACACTTATCAAGTTCATATGTTCACTATAATACTGACCTGATATTATTTACACAGTCTTCGTGAGCTTCAGAAAGTGTTTTTATGTGCTTTGAAGATATAGGGTCAAACAGGAGAACTTCAGTCTGTTCACAAGCAACTGTCAGAACTGACCTGAAAGCAAGTAACACATTTCTCTTGTTTAGTTTTCTAGCATTTGCTGGTTATTGATAATCATATCCCACTGTGAGAAAGAATAATAGAAAATGGTACTCTCTCTCTCATACATGTGATGGGATGTAAAACAGTAGACCTAATGTTTGCAAAGTACCTCTAGTACTCGTATATATCAAAAATTTAAATATGCACAATTTCTGACAATATTTTCTGAAAATTTAAATCAAGAGAAATAATCATTATAAATACAAAGAAAAATTAATACTAAAACATGCTTCACTTTAAAATGGAGAAACTGAAAGTAATCTAAATGTACATGAAAAGAAAATGAAAATAAATAAGCCATGGTATGTAACAGCACTCCTCCCTCACCCATAGAGAATACATTTCAAAACACCCACATTGGATGTCTGAAACTGCAGATAGTACCAAACCCTATGTATAGTTTTTTCATACACACACACCTAAATAAATTTAAACAAAATAAATTTAATTTATAAATTAGGCACAGTAAGAGATTAACAACAATTACTACTAATAAAATAGAAAAAAATCGTAAAAATATGCTTTAGTAAGTTATGTGAATGTGGGCTTTCTCTCAAAATTTTATTGTACTGCACATCTAGCAACCTTAGCATATGATTTTTTTTTTTTTTGGTCTTTCCTTATTGAGAACTCTCACCTTTTTACTTAAAGGCCATATTTTATGGTTTGTCATTGGCATATCCAAATTGCTAGCATTGCTACTCTTGCACTTTTGGGTCATTATTAACTAAAATAAGAGTTACTTGAACACGAGCACTGTGATGCCATGATAGTCAATCTAAGTGCCTAATGGGTGGGTGGGTAGTATATGCTGTGTGGATGCTAAGGACAAAGGGACCATTTACATACTAGGTAGGACAGAGATGGCTGATGAGATTTCAGAGATTTCATTAAACTATGCAGAATGTCATAAAATTTAAAATTTATTAGTTTATTTCTTGAGTTTTTTATTATAATCTTTTTGAACTGTGGCTTACTATGGGTAATTCAAACCTCAAAAAGTAAAACCATGGATTCAGAAAACTAGCATACCATGCAGAAATAAAAAATAAAGAGGTATCTTTACCTGGATATGAAAGAACTCCAAAATACATTTAAAAAAATAGTTGTAGATAAACATGAATCTATGAATAAACTCAGTGAAAAAAGTATACAAACAAATAATATGTCTCTTCATTGGTTATCTATAAAATGTATTGAAAAAGGTCTGGCTTATATCACCAGGTCTATTAGATATAAATTTATCAGACTTTTCCTTTATAATTTTTAGTTTTCTTCCTTCTGGTTTTCCCTATTGTAAGTTATAGTTTTACAAACCTTTTATCAACTCAATTTTGATTTGTGAAAATCCAATGTCTTTTATTTAAAGTTTCAATTTTCTATGGGCACTTCTCCTTCAGATTCAGATCTAACAAATGAAATCCTAAGTTTTTGAAACCTCAAGTCTTCCCAGTTTTCAGTACCAATAACAGATTTTTTTTTTTTTTTTGAACAGGGTCCTGCTAACTAGCCTCAACTTGAGATCCTCCTGTCTCAGCCTCAGCCTCTCAAGTCCCTGAGATTACAGGTGTGCAGCACTATGCCTGGCTAATGGAAATGTATATACACAAGATGAAAGTGCATAAGACAAAATTTTAAATAGTCAACTGTTTCTATTCAGAACAAATTTTTTAGATAAAGCCAGAACAGAAAAACCTCTACTAAATTGAAATTTTTTTCTTTATTTAGTAATCATGTAATTGTCCTTTAAAAGATATTACCAAAAACCCTTTTATGAGATATACGAACTTCAAAGTTTAATAATACCTGAAGGATTTTGCCATGGTTTGAATGTGTTCTCCAAATTTTATGTGCCAGCAACTTGGTTCCCAATGTAGCAGTGTTAAGAAGAGGGACTTCTGGGAGATGACTGAATCATAAGGGCTCTGTTCCCATGAATGAATAAGTCCATTCATGAATTAACAAGTTACTGTAGGAGTGGCTTTGATATAAAAGTGAGTTCTCTCTGGCATGCTTACTCTATCTCACCACTTGATGTCCTCTGCCATGTTATGATATAACCAAAAGGTTCTTATTAGATACAAGCACCATGCTCCTGGACTTCTCAGTCTTCTAGAATCATCAGCTTAAGAATTCTCTTTCTTTTGGTGCTGGGTATTGAACTCAAGACTGAACTACATCCTCAACCTGCCACAATTCTATTCTTTAGAAATTATTCAGCTGTTGCATTCAGTTTTTGCAACAGAAAACAGACTAAGACAGGTTTTTATGCTAGTTAATCAACATGAGTAAAAATATTCAAATTAAAATATATCATTTTTAGAAGCCACTTTTTTGTTGTTAGTTAGAAGAACCATGGAAGGAACTTTCCCACCTTTTGTGCATAAGTAAATGGATTAATGATTCTAAGAGATTCTTAAACATTATAAATAAAAGATCCATAAAATTAAGTTATTGTTTTTAACCAGTTACATTTTTATACATGGTGTGATATGTAATTTTTCTAACAGAATCTACTCCAATATCAAATTCTATACTTTTCTCATTTATAATGCCATTTTTATCATGTATTAAGTTTTGGTTTTTATATTGTGTTCTGTGCAACACCACACTATCTTTTTTTCTAAAAGATTTATAGTATATTTGCTATATGGCAAATCAAGATGTTTTCCATTGTTTTATAATCATTATTTTTTTTTGGCTAAATCATATTTTTCCCCAAATGAATTTTATATATAGCATGTCAAGTCCTACTAAGAAATACTGTTGGGATTTTTTTAATGGGATACAGTGGCTACAGGTTAATGGGGTAGTATTTATAACAAAAATATTGAATCACCTCATAGAGTAACAATGTGTACCTTCTCTATTTCTAGTTTAATTGCACTCCCATTAAGAATATACTCTGGTCAATTTCAGTCCTTGGAAATTACATGAGATTTATTTTTTGTATGACCTGATATTAATATACCATATCATCTTTCATTTTGTTAAATCTAGCAGTAGTATGCCATGACATCCTTTTACTTTAAAAAAACTTCTACATTCTTATTTTCAGGTATATTTTCTGTAAGAAGTTTTAAAAAATCTAACCAGGGCTGGGGATGCAGCCCACTGTAGAGTACTTGCCTAGCATGTGTGAAGCCATAGCTTCAATCCTTAGCACTACAAAATAATTTTAAAAATCTAACCAACAATCTGTCTTAATTGATTTACATTTAACATAATTACTAGTAATTTTTGAGTTTGAATCTATTATCTTAGTTTTTGCTTTCCATTTGTTCTGCTCTAGGTCCTGCTTCATCTTTCTTGCTTTTAAAATTTATTTTCACTATTCATATCTCACCCCATACTACTTAGTATACTAAATATACATTACCTTCCCCCCCCCAGTGTACACTAAGAGCTTATAACATGCATCAACTTTTTTAAAAAATGAAGTATGAATTATTAGTTCTATCACTTCCTGTATGATATAAGAACTTTGGTATATTTCAATTCCTTTTATTCCATTCTAATATTAAAAAAAATTTTTTTTTAGTTGTCAATGGACCTTTATTTATTTACATGTGGTGTCAGGGTCTCATTAAGTTGCTCAGACTGGCCTTGAATTTTCTGATTCTCTTGCCTCAGCCTTCCAAGTAGTTGGGATTATAAGTGTGTACCACTATACCTGCCTAAGGTATACTACTTACCAGTCTTAAAATTTGTGGCCTTGTAAGTGAAAATGAAAATTTTGTACAACTGTCACATATAGTTAAATGTAGTATTCAAAAGTTAAATAATCAGTGATAATGAGTAGCTTATTTTCTAAATTAACCTACATAAATTATAAAAATACTCACCAAGTGATATTAGTTGTAGTTCAAATTGTTCAACAAATTATTCTAGTAATTTCAAATAATTTATTAGTTTTGGAAACTATAGCCATAATCTTTTATTTGTCTTAGATATCCTTTTCTGAACCATGAATAGGAAACTGGATAATAAAGCTCCTCTAAGAATTTTCAATTTAAATTGATAGTCATGAATTAACCTGTAGTCTTATTAAAAAAAAAAAAATCACTCTTAACAGAACAGTGGCACACGACTAATCCCAGCTACTCAGGAGATTGAGGCAGGATATCACCAGCCTCAGAACCCTCAAAATTAAATAAAAAGGGCTGGGAATGTAGCTCAGTGGTAGAGTGTCCCTGGGTTAAAACAAAAAAACAAAATCAACAGAAAGTTATCACTGGGGCTAAATTTTCTTTTTAGCTTTTGGGGCAGTAACAATAAATATATTAAATTTATTTAGCCCTTCAATGTTTTCTATTAATTTTATATACTATTTAATCGTAGTAACAAGTAACAGATAAGAGATAATGTAGTACTGCAGTTAAGAGCATAAGGATATAAGTCTTTTGTATTTAATGACCTTACTGCTTTGAAGTTCCCCCAACCAAATGCAACTATACAGAGGGGAAAAAATTAATTTTGTGATCATTTTCATTGGTAAAATGAGTATTATTAATGCTTATGGAGGGCATGGAATCAGTGGATTTTGGCAAACTTATCCCACTAAATAATGATAAAAATAAACAAGAATGATAAAAATTAGGGATTTGTAGTTCAGGAATCATTCACCCATAAACCATTCCCATAGGCTTTATTCATCTGCTGTAGATTCTACTTTGCCATGGGAGTGTACTATGAACCTGTAGTAGTACTACTATTCTCATCTGATTGCTTTTCGTCTCTCTGGATCTCCCAGGGGCTGCAGTTCCACAAATGACTAAGAGACAATTATAGGGAGAATGCGTAAGTAGGCTGAGCTACCTTTAGGGAAGCCAGATGATCACCGGACATTTAAGCATTTTCTGTGTGGGGGAAGGTACCAGGCAGCAGTGAGGAATAGTTAGAATAGATGCTGAACTGCATTCTCTAGTGAGATGGTTGTTGACAGCCCCTTG